AAAAAAATCTTGACAAATAAGTACTCAGACAGAGGTCTGCTCTCTAGAATTTATAAAGAACTAAAAATCACTAGGGCCCCAAAATTTAAAGACCCAGTCCAGAAATGGGCATCTGAGATGAACACACACTTCTCAGAGGATGAAATTTAAAAAGCAAATAAATATATGAAAAAAATGCTCCACATCACTAGCCATCCCTGAAATGCAAATTAAAACAACATTGAGATATCCTCTCACCCCAGAAAGAATGGCTATATAAAGAAATCAACCAACAACAAATGTTGGAGAGGCTGTGGGAAAAAGGAACCTTTCTCCACTGCTGATGGGAATGTAGACTGGTGCAACCATTATGGAAATCAGTGTGTAGACTCCTTAAAAAACTAGGACTAGAAATCCAATTCAAACCAGCTATTTCCTTACTGGGAGTTTTCCCGGAGGATCTGAAAACATCATATCATAGTGATATATATGTACCTATGTTTATAGCAGCACAATTTGTGGTAGCCAAATCTTGGAAACAACCAAGATGCCCATCACATGAGGAATGGATGAAAAGACGTGGTATTTTTATACAATGGAGTTATGCTCAGCTATAAAGAAAGATAAACTTGAAGTCTTTATATTTAAGTGGATGCCACTGGAAGAATACTCATAAGTGAAATAAACCAGACATTTATGTGTAGATATCATATAGTTTCCCTAGTATAAGAACTCAAAAGAAGAAATACAAATACAAAGGTATAATACAATTAAAAGGAAAGCAAGAATTTGAGGACTAGACAATGAAGAGAGAGCAAGGAGAAGAGCTAGGAAACATGACAGAGGCAAGCCATACAGTTATATATAGAAGATGGGTAAGGCAATGATCCTGAGAATCTTCACAAGGTTTTCAAATCTAGCAGTTAATTGGAAGGATTCTCACCCTGACTAACTATATATGCTAACATCTGTGAACTAAGCAACTGCACTGAACATGGCAATTTGTAATATTAGGTTCATGCATGGAGTGCCTGTCATTCTGGTCTTCTGAGTATGTGCTACTTATCATGACACACTGGTTGCTGCCATGCTGTCCCTTGGGTAGATGACTGTTTAAAAAGGAAGTGGGTGGTGAATGAAGGCAGGAGACAGGAAAAGGAGTATTGCAGGAGTGTCCTGCTACAATGTTGTGTACAGTTAGATTTCTGGACTTACGTGTAAACATATACAATTCTTTATTCCTATTTTTTAAATAAATTTTAATTTCTTAATTTTTTCATCATATTCTTTAGAGACTTAAAGTTTAACATATCAATACTTCATGAAAAATACCTGTTCCATGTTATGCCTAAGATGTTTGATATTGAGACAGATAATGAGGTTAAGCTCAACAGCCTAGGTTGTATGGTAATAACAATAAGCTTCTCTTCTGGAGGGTTAACAACCTAAGTTTGCAGACAAAAATTAGGGAAAATGGAGGTCCACAAGGAAAGCCAACATTTTGGCCCTAACCTTCTAAGGTCAATTAAGATTCAGCACATATGAGAACTTGTACTGTAACATCATGTAACTTAGTTTTGTCACAAATTTTCTGATCAAGGAGATTATGGGGCCAAAGAGGAAAGTGATTGATGATGTATAATGTGCCTATAGAGAGTTACATAGAGAGAAAACATTTTCTCAGGCTTTCACATAGAGCATATTGGCCAAGCAATGGCCGTGACTCATCCACATGGCAAAGCATCTACAAACTGAGGTACAGGCTCTCAGGATAAGTCCTGAAGGGATTTGACTGACCTTATTAGATCCAAAAGCTATAATTCTTGCTGCATAGGTCTTGCTTTATCTTGGTATTAACCATCCAACAGAAAAGTATAAAAACAAAGTATAATAAGTAAAGCCATGTTGTTATGTCAAGCTGTAGGGGACTCAGGTCAACAACTTCTGACATTGCCAGTCAAGTGGAAGACCCAATACTATTATGGACTACTGTACTATTTTGGAATATTTTGTTGAGTTCACACACCTATAATATTTAAATGATGGAACTAAACAAAAAGAAGGGATGTAGATGAATGACCATTTTGTATCTGTGTATTCAAAAGGATTAGGATATATAGCTACATTCTCTTAATTCAATGAATAGAGTGATTTGTTCTAATAGTATTTGTAAATAGGATATCATGTCTGCATCTTGTACAACAAATAACCACTAGGAAGACAAAATGCAATGTGTTAATTATTGAAACTGTCCTACCAATTTGATTTGAAACTGTCTCATTGCTATTTGTTTCTCAATAAAATTATGGGGGGAAAATATTTCCAACCAAAGGGGATCAGTCTGCTGTCTTCTGGCCAACTGTCTGGTCCCCAGCCACCAATCCCTGTATCACCCCAGATCATGGAAGGCTCCCTTAGCCCTTCCTTGAAGATGTCATTGAATTTGGCCTCATCCATCCCAAGTTCCACAGTTTAGCAGTGCCCAGAGCCCATCCTCCTTCTTTCCCCCACATGCCTCATGAATTCTTCTTGCCTTATTTACTCCAGGCTACAACTTCTGTGACCCAGTAGTCCCTTTACCCCCACCTCATGTGGGTTTCCATTTTAAAAAAAAACAAAAAGAAAGACCTCATCAAGCCAAGTATTTCATAGATTTAATAAATGTACTGAAGATAAAAGGAGAACTTGAGATCCCATAGGGTACCACATGGCCACTTACCATCTCCCAGTTTTTTTATTCAGCTGCTAGAGGCTCCTAGCATCCCTGTTCCCAGCATTTGGTCCCCATCAAACCCACAGCTCCCCCTACTCCTGCTGGAAACTGAGTTCAGCCTTACAAATCACACATGTCTATTCTCTCCCTGCCAGGATGACAGTTTTTCCTGCCCCCACCCTCCAACACACGTGCCTCTTTCTTGGCTACCCCAAGCTTCCCCAGCCTGGTCTTCAGCCAAGCCCAGAATTCATCCCTCTTGTCCTGCTTGGGCCACAAACAGTAGTCTCCTCGGCGGAGCAGCCGGGCCAGTCTGTGGTAGCGGGGGAGCTGGTGGCGAGAGATGTGCTCCAGGAAGACCACCAGCAGCACTGGGGGATGTGGGGCAGCCAGGAGGAGGGAGGTGGCCAGGCGGAGCTCCAGGCGGCAGCGAGGTGTGTGCAGGGCCTGATGACTCAGCACGCAGAGGGTTACACGACTGCCTGCTATGCTGTCGGCCACATTGTCAACCACATCCTTGCCTGGCTCAAAATCTCGCTCAGGGAGGCAGAGGCACAGTCCCTGGCCAGCAGGAGGGCAGCCCTCCAGAACAGGCAGCAGCTCCTGTATTACCCAGTCTTGGTCTTGCCTGCAGTGGGACACAAACACATCATAGAGGAACCTCTTGCCCTCATCCTTTCGACCCCTCAGACCTTGGAACCAAGCCCTGATCCACGCCTGGACATAGAGGCCCCAGGAGTTCCTGGCTTCCTGGAGGAGGGGCAAGGAGAGCAGCAGAAGCAGCAAGGTAGAACTGCCCCAAAAAAGTTCCAACTCCAAGGTCTTAGGGCAGTGACTCCAGAGAAAGGGGAAAAGGGGCTTCTTGGATCTGTCTCCTTCTTCTGAGGGGCACATGGTATTTGATGACACATATGTGTATGTTCTAGGGGACCGCTCCAGCCAAGGTCCTGCCCAGGCATTGGCACACTTGCAGGCCAAGGACGAAGTCAGAATGTACATGTACTGAGGCATCTGAGGACTATATTCCCACAGGCTGTCATCCAGCACAAGGCCTTCCTCCCAGTCTAGCACTAAGGCCTGGAGACTGCTGAGGCCTTGGAAAGCAGCAGCTGACAATGTCTCCAACCCCGTGTTAGCCAGCTGCAGCACCTGAAGCCTGGGCAGCTCACCCACCAGCTCCTCCAGCCGCACTGGACGGGGCTGTGATCTGAACTTCAAGCCCTTCAGCTTCAGCTGCTGGAGGCTGGGCAGCCCTGTGATACGGCAGGGCCTGGGGCTGTGCCCATCTCCCTGTACTGTCAGGGACTGAAGGCTGGGGAGCTGCCAGAGGAAGAATCTGGAAGTGTCCTGAGAACATAGAGCCTCCAAACTACTGCCAAGCAGGAAGAGTTGATGAAGAGCAGGGAAGATCCTGGAGATGTTCTGGGTCCCCAGCTGTAGTCCCCAGCCTTTTAAAGTCAGGGTTTGTAAGGCTGGAAATACATTAGGCAACAACTTCCAATGCTTCATGCCTGAGCCAGCATGAAGTTCCAAGCTGGTCAGCATTGGGGGCAAGGACAATGTCATCCCAGCAGGGGCAGAAGGAAGCTGTAGTGTTAGGTTGTGCAGATTCTCTGGACCCCAGAAGTCCCAGGTTGAGTCCAACAAAATGTGGGTATCCAGCAGATAGAGGGTGGTCAGTGAAGGCAGAGAAGTCAACCAGCCCTCACTCAGCTCTACCAGTGGATTTGTATTCAAGTGCAAGATCTCTAGCATCCCTAGGCCCTGGAATACCTGTCTATCCAAGAAAGTCAGCTGGTTTTCCTGAAGTAGCAGGTGTCGCAGGTTGGGCAGACAGGAGAAGGTGGCTGGGAACAGGATGCGCAGCCGATTCGCAGACAAATTCAGGGTCCACAGTCCTGATGTACCTTCTGTCTCATTTGTGCACAGGGTGACATTCTGCAGTTGGTTACTGGCCAAGTCCAGTTTCTGAAGCTTGGGCATGGCTGCTAGGAAACCCAGTGGCAGTTTAGTGAGGCTATTAGAACGAAGACCCAAGGTCTCCAGGCTGTGGCAAGAAGCCAGGGCTCCCAGAGATATGTCCCTTATTTTATTTCTTTCCAAATTCAGCTCTTGCAGCTCAAAGTGGGTGATTATCTCAGCTGGAAACTCAGTCATGGCAGTAAACCTCATGAACAAAGCATTGAGCTGTTGAAGCCCCAGTCCCAGCACTGCAGTTGCCTCGATCTTCATATGGCTCAGGGACAGAGTCCTTACCTTGAGGCCTTGGAGGGCTCCCGGATTGGCCATCTTCAACCTACTGTTCATTGACAAATCCAGTGTGTCCAGGGTCCAGGCATCTCCAGAGGAGGGGTCACGTGCCAGATCTGGAAAGATGTCAGCCAACTCCCCCATATCCTGAAGGCAATTATGTACAATAGCCAGCTGCTTCAGAGTGGGAGGCAGCTGGACACTCAAATTCCTGTCCAGGCAGGGGCCTGAGAATTGAAGAGTCTGGAGAGATCTCAGATCATTAAAGGCATTAGAGGGTAGAAAGAGGCATTTCTGGCCATGACAAGATTGGAAAGAGAGTTTCTGAAGCTGCCTCAATCCCTGAAGAGCTCCTGGCAAAAGTTGGGTGAGACACAGGTTCAACTTCAGGACCTTGAGCCCAGGCAAGGTAGAGAAGGCATCCTGGTGCAGAACAGAAATAGAACCACTGAGACAGAGCCCCTCCACATTCTGAGGCACAATATGCAAGGTCTGTGTCAGGTTGGTCACTGAGATGCATGAAACAAGAAGAAGCAGGGAAGAGTCCAGGGAGCATAAAGTGAAGAATCGGGAGACCAGAGGCAACCGGGTACCTTCAGTCATCTGGCAGTTGGAAATATTCCAACCTGAGGTCAGAGGAAGGATCAGGAGCAGACCAGATAGCAGCAAGTGCTTATCCATCTTTGCTCTGGCTCAGTCCACCAAGAACTGGAGCCACTCTCACTTCCTTTCCCTCTCTCAGAGAGGAACCCAGGCCCACCCTAACCCTCTGCACATGCACATGCCCAGTACTCACAGCAGAGGCAGGATACACCCCTCCCAGTTTGCACAGGAGGTCTGCAAGCAGAGTAAAGGACCACAGTGCTTCCCAACAGTAGAACTACTGGGGAGCTGGACGGAAGGGTGGGACGATAGGAGGAGAGGCTTACAGCTGAGGCTCCTGGGTCAGGGAGCAGAACCACACCACTGGTAGGGCCCAAGTCTCACTTCTCTGTAGTGAGAAAGCAAGAAGTTTTTCCAAGCATAAGATTTCAAGCCAGAGAGCCAGGATATCTCTCCACCAGTATGCTGGGGAGAGCATTTCAACTCAGGTTCCTCTTTTATAAAATAGACATACTAGCACCATAGGATCATGGAAAACTACAAATTGTGACTGCCCACGCAGCTCTGTAACTTCGCAGGGTGAGGAGTGTGAAGAGCAGGGAAAAGATGAAGAAATGAAGACAATATACAAAAAGCTGGGATCAGACGGAGTCCTCTCTCAGGACAGGAGCAAAGAAACTGCTCAACCATGGAAGCCCATGTGACATCCCTCTGCCTAGCAGCCCATTGTGTGGATTGCCTCAGACCCTGGTGTTCCTTGACAGGAGCAGCTGGTTCACGTGGCTTGCCTCAGGCGCTGTTTATTCTCGGACCAGTCTTACCACAGGCATGTGAGCATTCTCCAGGGGGTGTGTGATCATTCTCCAGCTTCAGCCTCTCCCCACATGGGTTTCACTCCACATCACTTCCTTTACTCCATCTTTCCCTGACTTCTATAGAAAAAGAGTTCTTAAGCAAAAGAAAGAGCAGATGTTTTGTAAACAAAATAGTACATCACAATTTTGTCACTGTAGACATCTTGCAATGCTCCACACAGAAGAGTCCAAGCTTCACCTGCAAGTACTGAGAGATTCTTATGCCCCTTCTATGCCTGGGCGAGATCTGAAGGTCTCCATGGCCTTGTCTTTAAAATGCACTACTAGGACCCAAGGGAGAGAAGAAAGAGAAAAAGAAAACAAGTTCCGGTTATCTCAAACAATGCAGTAAAACATTCAATATAAGTCAACATTTGTTCATAATTTTAAAAAATAATAAAGAAAAGAATTCCTTGAGTTACAAAAGGGCACCTATCACAGATCCACAACACATGTAATTCTTTTTTTTTCTTTTTTTTTTTTTTCAGAACTAGGGATTGAACTCAGGCCCTTGAGCTTGCCAGGCAAGCACTTATTCTACTGAGCTATCTCCCTGGCCCCATATGTAATTCTTAATAGTGAACAATCCATTGCATTCAACTTAAAACCAGGAATGAGACAACTATAATTATTTCTGCTCAATATAATGAGAGCTTAAGCCAAGGAAATAAGGAAATAAAAAAAAAAAAACCACAGAAATTAAGAGTGCTAGGTTCAGGCCCTAGTGTGAATTGCTAAAATGATTGTGGTGGTCACCTACTATGGCAGTGCCCTTAGAACAAAGGCCTATGCTCCCAGGACCACCTCCTCCTTCTTCTCCAACTTAGCCCAGGACATAATTTACTTTCACCCTTCCTGCTGCCTCAGGGAAGACCCCCAGTCAGCTCCCTCAGATATATCTAAACACAGACCCTTCAAATCCCACCTCTGGCAAAAGGCCATAACAGCCTCAGCCTTCTTTGTCTAGTCCAGAGAACTCCTTGACCTCCCCAAATTCTCTCCGTGTCCTTAAAAACAATAAGGAACCTTTCCCTTTTTCCTTCTGCCTGTTTCTCTGCTGTGCCGTTCACCTGAAAAAAAAAAATTATCAAAGAGTATTTTAAAGGAAGAAACACAGGCCAAATGTGAAGGTGCACACCTGGAACCCCAGCACTTACAAGGCTGAGGCAGCAGGACTGCAGTAAGTTTGATGCCAGCCTGGACTACATAATGAGTTCAAAGCCAGTCTGAACTACATAGTGAGACCCTGTCTTAAAAATAAGGAAGAAATACAAAGGGTCACCATGTATAAGATGCTATGATTGTTTACATAAGAAATCTCAGAATTTATATTAAAACTAAAGAATACTTAGCAAAAATACTGAATAATATAAACATTTTTAAAACTTTCTAATATACCAGCATTAGTTAGGGTCTCAACAGACAGCAGTGCATTCAAATTAGGATCTTGTAAGAATTTTACGTGCAAAGGAACTAATCACAAATATATTATCAGGTGTGGAGTTACTGAAGGACAAGTCAGACACCTAGGCAGGATTAGCAAGCTTAGGACTGTCACATCTCCTAGAACTGAAGAGATAATGGTGGGGAGAAGTTGTCAGAATCCAGGGAGAAAGTGTATAGGCTTTGCTGCCTTGAAAGTAGCACTCACATTTGGTGAAGTCACAAAACCAACCCGAGGGGACCTCAGAGGAGAGAAAAGAAGAACCTAAATGTCCTGATCTTTCCTCACTTGCTCTAACCTCTTTCCAGGTTGCTTCACTGGCCCCAGAGTCAGAGGCAGGAAAAGCTCCATGTAATTCATTCAGGTCCACTTTGCTGAGGTCAGCACAATGGAGAAGAGCAAATAAATACGGAGGGATAAATGAAACAAAGGCACCAATACTGGCAGCTGGTAGTTGGAAAATGAAAAACTACTTTAAAAAAAGAAGGCCCCAAGGTTTATAGATAAATGGGATAGAATATAGTCCAGAAACAAAACTAATCATATTTAGTTACCTGACTTGTAAAATGATACCTGTTTAATTCCATGTCTTCATCAAAGATAACAGTGTAAGAAAAGATAACAGGGAGATAGATATGATGGAAATAGATCATTGCATGTATAAAAATATTGCATTAAAATCCAATCACTTAAGATACATCATAAGCCTGATTAAAAATTAAAACAGTAATTTTTAGGTGAAAACAATATTTTTAGGGTCTTGTGATAAGCACAAACTTCCTAAGTAGGCCACAAAAATTGTTAGCCATAAAAATGTTCTCATAATTGAACTCTATTATAACTAAGAAGTTGTGTTCATTAAAACTATGACTTAACTAGTAAAAATGATAACCTACACACGAGAGGAAGTATTTTACAATACAAGTGTTCATCAAAAGATTCATAGTTGTGGTTAGGGTTAGGGTTAGGTTTTCTCTTATTTTTTGAACTTTTCTCAAATGCTCTCTAGTTGTAGAAATAATCTATGGGCCAAAGAAGAAGCCATAATAAAAAACTAGACAATGTTTTAATTGAACCATAACAAAAATAACTACACAGCAAAACTGGTAGGATAAAGTTAAAACAATCTTCTGGGGAATATACAATCTTAGACATCTGCATTAGAAATTAGACAACAACAGATAAAATAGAACCAGGCAACAACATCAAAATGTTACAAAAGGAACAGCTTAAAAAAACTTGAGACAGGGTCTCCTATTTTTCCCATTATGCAGTAACTCACACCAAACAAGCTCTCCGACATGAACAACTATAAAACTGGACCAAATATGAAACGACTGTTTTCAGACATTAAGAATTTATCTCATTCTATTTGTGCTGCTAAATATCACAATCTACACATTTTAGAATGCACACTTTCTTTTTTTTTTTTTTTTTTTTTTT